TCTTCTTTCCCTAAAGTTGCAAGTGGCAGTGTCTCTTTAGTCTTTATGGAAAAATCAAAACCATATATATATTAACTCACAACACAAACTTAGCTCTTGTTTACCTCCCTCCAATTTTTAGATCCATGCACAAGAAGTTTAAATGTCGCAATAAGGGTGAATATATATTAGTTGAGTGTTAACTAAAGACCTTACCTGCACTATGTTATGATGAAAGAGACGTGAAAGCAAAGCCACTTCAGAGTTAAATTGCATTTCTAGCAAGGCCTTTCTCTCCTCATCCTCTGATGGAATCCTCACCATTTTCACAGCAACAGCTATCTGCTTGTAGATTCCACGGTAGATTCGGCTATGAGCCCCGGAAGCAAACTTGTTACCTATAAACAGCTGTGACAAGTCTGCAGTCCATTCCTCTTGCTCCTCCTCCTTTGAAGCCTCCCATGTCTCCATTGAGTCCAATATCATGGACCACGATTCCATGCTATCAAATCTCTTCCTTCCCATGTTATCCACGTCAATCTCCAAATGGGTCTTGGAGGCAGATGAAGGTTCTGGTAAAGGCTTACTCTTAGACCTCCTTAGCCTAAGCCCGAGGAAACATGACCCCGCCATTGAACCTAGAAAACAAGTGTGTGATTGTGAAACCTTTGCTGCTTGCTATGATGATGAGATACTTGTCAAAACAGACAGTCCAAAGAAATTTTCCTCCTTAGTGTTGATTTCAGAACATGAGCTCCAAATAAGAATGAAGAGTACGTGTGGCTTTTCATGAAACCATCTCCATGAGTTTGTATGTTCCAACAAGACCCTTTGAATGCCATTTTTACGTAACTAGGCCACGGTTTGTTTCATGTCAAATTATGGTTACTTCGTGTATCAAAGTTGTGTGTCTTCGGTAGTCTTATCTGACTCGAGTAAGATTATCCTGAAAGATACCTATGGTTTCAACAAAAAAAAAATGTGACGGATAAAAGATCTCACAGCATTGAAGACTCAAGCAGAAGAAGAGAAGGATGTTGGGATTTCATTGGTTGTAGCCAAATGCTATGAGGTGAGAGAAAGAAGAAGAAGCAGTTTTCAAAGGGAGAAAAGTTTCAAGGGTGTCTCGTGAATGCTTGGTTCAAAAGTGAACTAGTTATAGCGAGCGAGAGAGAGGCTTTTTTATGGTCAATTTAATTAATTGAGCGTCCTTGATTGAATTTGCATTATCATGATTCATGAATGCAATGCTAAGTGGTGAGAATGCAATGCGAAGTGACTTGAGCTTGCAATTAGCACATTCAATCCAACTATTGGTGCTTTTGCAGTCTTCTCAGACTTTGGATATATCCCCATCTTGTTGGGGCCCGAAAAAGTTCTAGTCGTGTAACGTAACAAAGGAAAAAACAGTGAACAAGTGCCAAGAGATGGACCTCTCAATTGATATATACGAAACAAATGGTTTGATTTATATGAATTACTGTGTTTTCCTTGTGCTGTGAAAAAATGAAACAGCTCTTTGGTGAGGTACCATGCAGTACCTCATTCCGATAGAGTACATGTCCAAACACGACTCTTTCACAAGTTGACAGAGGAAAGCAAGATGCTCTTCAAGCATTTTATTTCGGAATTCGGATCCTTCAAGGCTTGCACTTGAAGCATTGTTCATCAATGCAAAGCAGTGATTCCAGGAATCAGATCTTTAAAAAATTAATAAAATATAAAAAGGTAAAGTTGTGGAATCTGATTGAACTATTCAAGGTATAGCAAGATTTTTTCAGGTTCACTATTTTTTTTTATATAGATAATTTTAAAAATGACACTTTTTTTATTATGTAATGATGTCCATTTTATTTTTATATATGGGAATCGAATACCAGAGTTTAAATAATAATAATGATTTTTTATACGTAATTTTAAAAAATAAATACGATAATATATTTTCTTATAACATATATCCATATCAATATATTTTCTTTGTTTGTTAGATTAGTTATTTCTACTATACTTTTTTTTATCGAGATATTATAATGATAAGAATGAAAATTGAATTTAATTTCTCATGTATTTACTCAACTTTATTTGATGGGGTTATTTTATGATATTTGTTTGAGAAGATATTTTATAATAAGACTTATTTTTTATCAGAGGAGCATAATATAATTTTATTCATGAGTCTCTATTTATAGAGAAAATTTGTTATACAAAATCAAATATATTTGATATTATCCTATTCTAAAATAAGGAAATAAATCTTAAAATAATCAGAACAGATTAAATCTAAATATTTGAAATATAAATAAAATATTCTTATAAAAAACTAACTTAATCTTCTAAAGATATTTAGGCATATTCCCAACACTCCTCCTTGACTGAATATCTTTATCACCTAATTTGAGTTTCAAAATCTGCCTTTTCTCTTTTTGATTGGTTTCTTCTTTTTGTGATTTTTGTTGTAATTCTTCTTGAGTGGGACCACTTTAACATTTGTCTCGAACTTCTCTTTTGAAGGTGATTTTTCATCATCTTCATTCTCCTCTTGATCATCAACTTTCTTTTGAAGACATGCATCTTTGTGTTCTTCACTTATATCTTCATTTATAATTGGTTCCTCCTCCAAATTTAAAGCAAAACTTTTGCCTTTCATATGAACATTGAATACTTCTTTGTTGTGTATATCTTTAATCACACAATTTTTATCTTCAAATAACACTTTATAGCCTTTTCCTAATAATTGAGAAACACTCAACAAATTTTGGTTAATATCAGGAACATATAAAACATCAGATATTAATTTAAAACCTGAATGACTCTTAATAGCAAGTGTTCCTTTGCCTTTTACTGCAAGGTGTGCTCCATTCCCCATTTGAACTTTAGAGATATCAGTTTTGTTGAGTTCTTTGAAGAGTTCTCGATCATAGGTCATATGATTTGTACAACCACTATCAATAATCCAAGCTTTTGAGGGTTTTTTGGTCATAAAGCATGACATTGAAAGTAGTTCTTCTTCTCCCTCTTCTTGTTGATCTTCAACAATGTTGGCTTCTTCTTGTTGCTCATGAGATTTGCATACATGTTTTAGGTGTCCTAATTTTCCACAATTGTCACATTTTACATCAGGTCTCCACCAACATCTTTGTTGTGGATGATTAGTCTTTTTGCAATAAGGACATGGTG